TCATGACCATTCAGACTGAGGTCCACAAGTGTAAATTGGAGTATTGTGAAGTCTGGAAAATTCATACCAAGATAGTTCAGATCACTGCAAATCAAGATGCCTTCTGGCATGCCTTTGCATTGCTGAATGTTTCTGCAGTTGAGGTCTTAATGAATGTTCCAAAACATGATGTGCAATGGAATACTGATTGTGTTAGGTCAATATTTACTGCTATGGGTTACAGTTTATCAATAGTGATATCACCCCTTTATTAAAATTATATGTGTCTGTCTATCTGAAGCCATTTTAAACTCCGCCATCTTTACCATCAGCTCCAGCATCACTTGCCGAGAAACCACATGCCTCAACCCAAGTGGGGGGCCACTTTGCAGCCCCCTTGCACTCTAGTTACACTTGCAGAATTGTATCTCAGGGAACAGGATCTACTGGCAACACAGCTACTGTTTGTATATGGATGTCCATTGAAGCAGAGCAGAATATATGAGAGAGACAGTATAACAATTTGTGCCTGCAAACTCACATGTTGTGGACAATATGCACATCATAGTTCAATTTATGCAACTTCTGGTAGCAGGCCATACTGTCATGAATCACCCGGGTTCTACTTTTTCGCGTGATGTGTCTGTATGGATACAGACACGTCTTAGCAGCATGGGACTCTCATAACGCCACCACATGACCTTCTCACAGTTGAAACCTGACCATGGATTCTAAAGCCACAGACCCAGGGTGGTCTGCGCCACAGGATACAGAAGACACTAGGGACTAGGAAACCATTCAGATGGATCCTAGTCCCCAGACGCATTGCGGGTTGCATCCACACCCCGGGTTTTATACCTGAGTGGATATCATACCCTCTTTGACTTGTTCCGGGTTCCGCCTCGCATCCTGATACGGTCTCCTAGAGAGGACACCATTCAGTTGGTCTTGTGTCTCAGAGAACACACAAGCTACTGGCATCTATCGGGTTTATCCTGGTTGGGGTTCTCGTTGGGTTACTCACAGTTTAGCCGACCCAGAGGCTGTTGCTGACACATGCTACTCATTGGTGATGTACCAACTGACCATCTGGTTGTGATAGAACACCTGAAAAGGTGCTACTGTGGGCAGGAGGAGGGAATAATGAAATATGCAAGGACTTCCAATGAGTCCTGGTGCTGTGACAAGACAGTTGTGGCAAATGAGGGAGATGGAGAGGCATAGGTGTAAACATGAGCAAAGCAGGTGTGAGTCAGAGCAAGGCAGAGGCAAAGTGAGACAGAAGCAAATCAAAGGGGGTGAATTGAGTCTGAGAAAGTGGGGAAAACAGAAGTTGTATTGTAGCTATTTAGTGCTCCTATATATACACCAGTGAAACAATGGAACACCCAATTAATAGGGGAAATGAAATAGATGCTCAGTTGATTAGGGTGTCATGGTTGGAAGGGGCAGGCATTAGGCAATGCAGGAGAGTGGGAGGAATGAGATAAAGGTCAGACAACATAGTTGGAAGGGGATAATGATGATTAAACAATCAATGATTGGTGTTTGCCCCGTGCATGGGGTGCTAGCAAGCACAACACTGGCCTTGCCCACCTTTTAGTATTCTGCTTGATATACAGAGTGAATCCCTGATGAGAGAGAAAGAAGAGAGGGCAAGCACCCAAATGTCAAATGTCACCTTTGAGGTCAAATATGACAGCACAACCATGAAAGTAAATCAATACAACATGTTGGAATTAGGGCTCCAGTCCATCCATTTAATGGAACGGCCATCAAAAAAACAGCTGTTTTCTGGCCACAGACAAGCCTATCCATCTGTCAATAGTAATTCTGAGAGTGGCTGACAGAAAGGTTCCGTCAATTGAACCCGTATGGCTGTTTGATGGGTGACTAATTTCCTTTTGGGACTTGGCATGGCAGTAGCAGAATCAAGGTAGTGACAACATGGGAAAGAGTTGGTGGGCACTATACTGGCCCCTTGTGCTTCTTTGATTGCTCCCTATCTACCAGTAAGAATGATATATGTCAATCAAAGACCAACTTATGTAAATCCTATCCTATCCTACACATGTACCACCATTTCAATGGGTCTGTGTCCTCGAATGAAGGAGGGTAGTTGATGAGCCAAAATTCTGCAACTCAATTCTTGGTAAACCATACTTATCTCTGTGGAGTGGAGAGACTCAAAAAAATATAAAGGAAGCCTCAGAAATTCTCTAGGGCAATACATGTGTTCAATGTTGAAGTCAAGGGCAAGCAGATGTAGGTGGTGGCATTCAAGCATAGTGGCAACATGCGTGTCTTTCACCTGTTCGGACAGTTCCGCAGTCATTGCCACATGCTCGGCAATGCTACTTGCAGTAACTCATGTAATCAATCTGTTGACCTGTTTACAGACAGATACAAGTTCTGTCTAAACAGGTGAATCCATTCTGTATCTGTCCATTTTCGAAGCAGATAAGTTGCTCTATAGATGGGACAGAAACTGTTGACCCATTGCAAATGGAAACAGATCAAAGCTAGTTGGAATATGGGCACTGAGACACATGGCTGGGGGGCACAATGGTGTAGTGGTCTATCGTGCGGTGTTTCAACACACCACCTGACTTGCAGGATCTTGGAGCAGATTCGAACCCCCACACGCTGGAGAGATTAACATTTTTGACACTCTCTGGCTTCACCACTTGCTGATTCCCAGCTTGGCCTTCCTCCCCTTCTTTCAGATCATCCCACGGATCCCGCTGTCCATCTCCCATGCCATCGGCAACTTCCCCTTTATCTTTGCAACAACAGCCGGAACAACCCGGCGGCCAGCACATTCACACTCCGCAGTACTGCACTCATACTCAAACGTGCCGGGTGGGTTGAGCCCGGCAGTCGTTTATCCCAGTGAGGTTGCCTGGGATTTTGATGGGGGCCAACAAAGGAGCCAGAAAATCACTGCACTGTGCCGAGAATGGGAATTTCATCAGCCTGGGTTTGAAATAGGATCAGAAGGAACTGGGGTAGGGGCTGCTGGTTTGGCTGGGTCTAGGGATGGAAGTCGGGCCAGAATGTCAAGACTGATGGGATCATTACAACATTCTCAGGAGTTCCCCAGATGTTAACATTGTGGCCGCGCCACAGGACTGGATTCCATCACCATGTCATGTGTTCAAGTAGGAGATTAAAAAGATTAGATATGATTACCTGATAGATAGAGGAAGATAAGTTTGTATCTCTACCATATGCCCTTGGCACAAAGGAGAATAAACAAGGATTCCAAAAAAAAAGGCACACAGCTGAGGCTTGGGTATTTCGGAGAGTATTCTGACTCTATTGTGGATCAGGTAGACTTGAGCAGAACATTGTAGAACATGCAGGAATGCTGTGGAATATTTACTTGTGACTCAGAATGACTTGTAGGATGAGTATAAATATAGTAGATATTGTGGTGCAATGTCATGGATCACCCGGGTTCCTCTTTTTTCGTGTGACGTGTCTGTATGGATACAGATACGTCTAGCATCACAGGACTCACATGACACCACCACTGTGATCTTCTCACAGTTGAAACCTGATTGAGGGTTCCAAGTTGCAAGCCTAGCATGGTTTCAACCACTGGATACCAGCAGATATTAAGGGCTAGGGAACCCATACAGGTGGACCCTCTAGCCCTATTACACCATGATAGACGACACAGAGGTGTCCAGGAGTTACAAGTATGGTTACAAACTGATTGGGGTTTTGACCACTGGATACAAGACAATGTTAAGGGCTAGGTAACCCATACAGACCCCTAGCCCTCCAACACTATGAAGACCAACACAGAGGAGTCCAGGAGTATCAGCATTAACACTCCTTAATGCTGCAGTATAGGAACTGATTGTGATCGACCACAATCATATTTAATTTATTCAAAGCATATAAAATCTCAGTAGAATCTCCCTGTACATTAGATTCCACCTCGTCTAATCTCAGGCTTCTGCTTTGGCTTGACATAGGCATTGTCTCCACCCTGCCCCACTTCCTATCACCTTATTATGGGTTGTGTCCACACCCTGGGTTCTATACCTGACTGAATATCACACCTTCAACTCATTCCGGGTTCCGCCTTGCACCCCAACCTACAATGTACGGTCTCCTAGGGAGGACACCATTCAGTTGGTCTTGTTGCTCAGGGAACACAGAAGTTATTAGTGTCTACTGGGTTTCTCCTGGTTGGAGTTCTCGCTGGGTTACTTGCTGTTTAGTTGACCTAGAGGCCATTGCTGACATGCAATCCTCACCAGCTTGTACTGCCCAGTGTCACTGCCATTGTGTAAATCTTATCAATTCTTGAACCAAATATTGTGTGAAAGGATCAGATTCATCAAAGCATAAACTCCAACACAACACATCTCCACCACAGAAGCTCTGAGTTGTGTGTGAGACCAAAAAGTCGTGAATTGCTTTGTTGCAGTTCAACCTTACAGATTATGGAGGAGAAAATTCTGTAAGGGGCATAGCGGATCAATACTGTCATGCCCTTTACATTGTACCTGTTTTAATATAATTTGCTTGCTTAGTGACTTACTTACAATACATTCCACCTGTGGCACTGCCTTGACCCTTGTACTTGTACTCTTGATTTGTTGTAGTACGCTTCGTTGAATCAACACCAGTCTCCGGGCTATCTAGTCCTTGAGATTTTCTTCTCGTTCATGCTCTCATTCTAGTTTCGGCCATCTCGAGGCCAGCCCCATGACAAATTCGACTTGAGATGAGAAAAACACCTATACACATACTAAACTATCAACACATCAGCATTCAGCAAACTGGTCCCCTCACATTAGTCTCCCATAGACAGACCCAGTATATACCCCACTCATACCTGTCTCTACCTCAATCTTATGGAGACAAGGGTCTGATGTGGGATAGGCAACCGGTATCATGTAGGTTCCCACACAACGCCGGGGGTAATGATTGTTTTCGGGTCAATTCTGCAGAGCAAAAAACCGCACAATGATATGGCCATACAGCAATATCCCTGTTTTAATGGCCGCCTGGCGAAATGGCATCGCGTCTGACTACGATCGTGGCATTCTTTCTCAGTATTAATCAGGAGATTGCAGGTTCGACCCCTGCGGTGGTCATTTTTGTTTCGCATTATTTTTGTTTCTCTTTCCCGTCGCCCTAGCTCTATACTTCTCTTCCCGTTACCCTAACCAACACCCACTAAACGCGAGATGCATGAATGACTGGATCCAGTAAGAACGAGTGAATGTGATCCTGCGCCGCGTGATGTGATATATGTGAGAGGAGTCGGTATAGTATGGTATGTATGTAAGAGATTTTGAATTGCACACGCCAACGAGCACGCCGACGCTAATCCCACACCAGCCGCCCGCCCGCATCCACGCTCGCCTTCATCCCGCCGCCGACTTTGGGGTTGCCGGAGGAGGCTTGCGCTGTAAACGGGATGAGCGTATGACCGAGAAAGGAAATGGGAGGGGGAGCAATTGGAATTGGGTGGGGGAGACCGTGTGGAGGAAGAATGTGAAGATCGACGAGCGGCGTCAAGGACATGAGTGAGAGTGTGTGGAGAATGGGACGTAGGAGAAGGGGAGAGCACGAGGGGAATCAGATGGGCGTAAGTAGGAGAGTAAGGGGAATGATGAAGGAGAATCGGGAGGGAAGGGAGAGAGGAAGGTGAGGATATGAAAAATAGGAAGAAAGGGAGACGATGCAGATGTAGCGAGAGCACGGTGCATAATGCGCCATACACGCACGCAGGCCGAAAGAAACGCCACGCAACGCGCCCTCGATAACGACTGCGCCCTCCCCGGAAAAAGCCACCCCCCAAGACTCCAAAGACGTGGAATCGAATCACTCACCCCGCATCCGCTCCGCCTCTCCCGCGCGCCGATGCGCCGCCAGCGCCGCCGCCTGCACCGCATCCGCCTCTGCCTTCGCGGCCTTCTCCGCCTCCTTCCGTTTCGCGTTCTTCTTCGCTTGCGCGCCGGCGCCCGCCGAGGTGGTGGGCTGGGATTTGGGTTGCGAGGAGGTGAAGGAGGAGGTGGATTGGGCTATAAGAGCGGTGATCAGTGGGTGTGGGCGAGAGGGGGAGGGGGAGAGAGGGAAGAGAACGGGGCGCAGCGGCTCAACCAGAGATACCGATATGCTCCCGGGCATATTTTCAGAGGGGAAAAGGGACGTGCGCGACGTTTGTGCCAGTCCTACGGTCGACGACAAACGACTTGCGCTGCGCCGACACCAGTGTACCCGCACCGTGAGGACCCTTCCGCCGCACCGTACGCCCCACAAAGCAAAGCAAAGCCCCACTAAAGAAAAGGAAGCATCGAAAAGAGGATGAGGGCAAACGTGCCCAGCAGGGAGGTTGCACAAGGGCAGGTCGTCGTTCCTCCACGACACGACGTGTACCGGCGGGCATACTCCCAAGGAGAATCGAAGAAAACGGGGAGCAGCACATCGCCGTTAACGTGCCGCACAACGAGAAAAACCATCAGCGAATCATGGCTCGAACCCGCAGACGCACGCGCCGCACCGGCCCCATGATGTGGCCCACGCTGTATGAAGGGCCCAGGACTCCCATCGTCCCGCACAGAACAAAGAAGCGAAAGCACTGAAGAGCACAGACGCCAACGGCGGCGCATCTCAGCGCCGCACGGGGCCGCACCTCCCACGATACGACACGCGCCGCACCTCCGCATCGGCCACCCCCGCCTGCTGCTGCTGCCCCGCCCCCCCTTACAGCACCGCATCCACCTCACTTCCACCGCCCCAAAGCGGCGCGCACCACGAAAGAGAAAGGGGAGGCGGAGAAAGAGACGCGCCGTCCTGTCCCGTCTCATCGTCCTTCCACCCCCGCCCTCCCTCCAAAAACCCTGGCTCGCTCCACCCTCAAAATCCCTCCGCACAAGGATGGACGGACGGACTCCGTCCGCCCGTCCTCCCTGTACAAGCTCCCTCCTTACACCATCACCACCATCCCCACACGACATCCCCGAAACACGGGAGCCGCGCCGGCCCACCCCGCCTCTGCACCCCCGCAAAAAAAAAAAAACCGAACCGAGAACCAAGCAAAACACGCAACGCACCCGCCCCCCGCCGCTTCACGGGCACAAAGTCCCACGCGCCCTCCTCCCCCTCCTCCTTCTTCCCCTCGAACGAGGCGTCCGCGCCCCACCCCGCGCCCGCATCGGCCTCGGCGGCGGACAGCGCGAGCGCCGCGCGGAGGTCCTCGTCGTCCGCGTCGTCGACGTCGACGTCCTCCGACGCGGTGGTGTCTTGCTCTTGCTCTTGCGCGAGGGGTTCCGCGGAGTGCGAGCCGGTGGGGGTGCGCTGCCCGGCGCCGGGGACGACGCGCATGACGCGCGCGAGGGCGGGGTAGTCCGGCGAGGAGGCGGGGAGCATGCTGGAGAGGTAAAGTTAGCGATCGGTTTCAAAGACGTCGAGGGGAAGGCTGGCGTAGAAGCCAGAAGAAATAAAGCGGGACGCAAGCAAGGAAGAACAAGAACGCGGTCGGGCGGACCGCCGGGGGGAGGAAGGGGAAGCTGCCGAGCGTCCTCACACGACGCGACGCGCGCTCTCCTCGATGAATGCGCGCCTGTCTCCGGGCCACACGTCCATGCCCGATTCCATTTCGCCTTTTTTCGCTTTTCGTGTCCACGTGTCCGACTCCGCGTCGTCTTCGGAGTCCGCCTCGCGTCCACACAGCGCGACCTCGTGCTCGGTCAGGAGCATCTCCGTGGCGCGGATGTGTCCATCTATCGTCCCGTCGGCATCCGTCCAGGGCCGTCCCACCCACATAAGGGTCCAAGCCCGGGTCTGCATCCGCCTGCGGACAATGAAATGAAATGCAAGGGAATGGGGATGCATCGGGTACGCACGCATGCTGCACCCCACCCCACCCATCCGCATGCACGCTCGGCGCTCGGAAACGGTATCCTCTCCACACAGTCCCCTCTCAGCCTACTCCGCCCCACACAAACGCGATGTGGGGCCGGGCATGCGGAACGCGGGACGAAACGAAGAGTAAGATGCATGACGCACGACGGAGAAGAGAAAGTGGCTCGTCTGGTCTAGTGCCTTCCCTGTATCCTATCACCTTCCGCATCGGGCCGCTCAACGAGGAACGCAGGGGAAAGACGGCAGGAGCCAAGTGAAAAGACATGGAACAGAAAGAGACAGCGCACAGACGACACGAAGAAGGGAAAGGAAAGAACGGTTCGAGGGCACGGCGGCAGTGTGTAGTAGCCCGCAGTGTAGGTAGGGTAGCCGTACTGGGATGCCATCTATTGTCCACATACGCTGTGAGCGCGCGGGCCTGCACGCGGGTGCATCGGAGGGCACAGAGAACGCAGAAGCGGCCAACCCCACGGGAAGAAACGCAAAGCAACAGAGCCCGCCCAGCGAGGAAAACAGCAAGGCGTAACAGGACTCACTCATCCACGCCCGTCTTCCGCGGCTTCGGCAGCAGCCTCTCCGCCAACGGGCGCTTCGGCGGCTTGTTCAGGCTCGCCTTGGGGCGCATGCCCGGCAGGGGGATCTCCTCCGCCTCCGACTCGGCGTCTTCGTCCTCTTCCGGAAGGCTGTCCTCGGTGGTGGTGGTGGTGGACGCGGAGGTGTTGGTGTGGTCCCCGACGCGCGTCCAGCCGTCGTCGGTGCTTTCGCCCGCCTGGGGGGGCGGGGCGGGCGCCTTCTTCTTGCCCTTTGTTTTTTTGGGCTTCGCGACCGGGGCGGCAGCTGCGGGCGGGGTGGGGGTGACCGCCTCGGGTGCGGGTGCCGGTGCGGGTACCGGGAGCGGTGCGGCAGCGGAGGGGGGTGCAGCAGCCTTCGCAGACGCGGACACCGAGGCAGCCGACGCCTTCTTCTTGGCCTTCTTCGAGTGGGCCTTGACCAGCGGCGCCTTGGGCTCGTCCGGGTCCGGCGCGCCGTCGAACGCGCCAGGGAGGGACGAGGATGCGGTTAGGACGGGTGCAGCTGGGGATTCAGCGGGCTTGGGCTTGGCTTTTGATTTTGATTTCTTGGGCTCCAATACGGGGGCGGCAGATTCCGCAGCACCAGCCACAGCAGCAGTAACACCACCCGTGGACTTGCGCTTGCTCTTCTTCGTCGCAGATTCGGCCGAAGACGACGAGCCCGGCGCGAGGGTCGAGTAGCCGATGGCGACTGCGCCGCCGACGACGACGGCCGCGGTGAGGACGGTTTCGGGGGTCAGTGTGCTTTGTGCGGAGCCCATTTTGGTTAAAGACAAGGAGAGTGGGAGTTTATAATTATGGTGTGAGTCGGGACGGAGCGGGACACGTGGCATCAAACGCGTACATACGCACAAACAACGCGTAGTGCGGGTTGTCAGGCGCAGGTATGTATACTTGAGTTCCAGATTCGTAGACATCAAACAAAAAATCGACGTGTCCCTGGTCAATCGAGGGGCAAAAACTTCAATTTTCGACATCGTCATGGCTTGGTCCCGAATCGAACGGAGACAGACCCTGCGTGATTGGAATGACTTACGACATAGAACACAGGTGCGGACCTCCCGCTACCAAGCCATATCCATCCCATTTTGAACCTGATTTTGTGCACACAGCCTATGTTCTTCCCATCAGCCCAACCTGTGTTGAAATTAATCCCATGAGCGTATAATATTGGGTTCTCGGACTCTTCGGTCAAACAAAGCTACGCTCAGCCATGGACATACATATCCGGGGTGCAGGTTTTTTGAGAGCCCCGAGAAAAGAAACAAAAAATATCGGCTCCTAACGACATACTACGGCCCGGTCCCGAATCGAACGGAAGCTCCTGCTTACATTACTAGAATCCTCAATACTGAAAACAGGTGCGGACCTCCCGCTACCAGGCCATAAGTATCATCTTCTGGAACCTGGCACTGAGTGCCCAAGCATTTTGGAACCTAACACCATTTCCTGGAGATATGAGCTCCAGGCACATTTTGTTGGACCAGCCACTCAGTTGGACCCCTGTGAATCCGCGTCCATCCTTTGAGACGGAACAGGTCCATCAGCAGCAGTGTCCCATCGAGCTGTTCAGTTACTTACTCTTGAGGGCCCAATTGCAGCAAAAAAAATCTGAAAACTGGTACACTGAAATTTCTTGGGCAGACTGACAT